CATACGCGTCTCAGTCTCCTCCTGTGTGTCGCCACATTTCTGAATTCTAGCAAGGTGAGCGACGTAGTGATAGTTGCTTTTCTCGCTTTCCGTCTGCCTCATATAGGAGAAGCGGAACGGCTCGAAGACGTCCAGTTCGTCGTGATTGTCCTCATCGTAGTGCATTGACATCTTCGCAGCAGTAACTAGGGTCACAGCGGGGACGGACGTGCTGTCCATCCTTCACTACATTCACCGGAAGAAGGTCCTGTCCTTCTTCCGGCTCGCTCCCCTTAGCCTCCTCATCACTTTCCGACGACTTCCGTGTATCTAGCACATCCTGCTCGAGGTCATCGTCTGCAAAGCCTTTCACATCATTCTATGAAAGAGATCTCGTTAATCGACCCCCCCCCCGGTAGCACCTGAAGACGAGACCTACGCCCGACCGTTAGCAATCAGTCCGAGACGTCTTGTTCTCCTTGTACTGTATGCGAACTGACGTCTCGCTAAATGGTACTTTCGATTGAGCTGTTCGGTCTACGGTGAATGGCATCGAAGCAATACCGTAACATGGGAGCGACTGGGTTAGAAGGCGGGTCCCAGGAGGTCGCAATTTCAGGAGTCGCCAGGAAGCTGGACATTGCTCTCGCAGCCTCGTCGACGAACGACGCATACCGGGAACCGGTATCGAACGGGGATGGTGGGTACGACAGCGGAGCGCCCCAACTTGTGGCGGTCATGGGCATAGGTGGTACATCAGACCTAACGCGTCCCGCGGTGTCAGGCGATGGAAATCGCAACGACTCACCATCGGTTCCGTTGTCATATTCTGGCGGCCCGGCTGACGATGGTGACCATGAATAGTCCTTGAGATTGAGCGCTGAATGCTCAGTTGAGCTAGCAGAGGGAAGGTGAACAACAGTGTTGCGCATGTTTGCTGGGTCAAGGCTGGTTTACCCCGTGCGAGTGTCAACCTTCACAGATATACGACCACTGCGTCATTGTGATATGTGAATGAGCTGTTTGGTGAGATGTGTACCA